ATTTAAATTTTCATAAAGTTTGAATCACATCGTACAATGCGATTAGCTCAAAATTTAAATTTAGATTATCTAACCTAATTTATTCGGTGGCTTGGGATTTTAGATCAAAACAAATCATACAATACGATCTAGGTCATATGGTATGATTAGTTCACAAAAAATAATTATTCAATTATCAATTAAGCCAATTCTCTCTATAACTAATCATACCATACAATTGTATTTTGTACAATATGATTATTACAAAAAAATTAAATTTAACTTTTTCTCACTCACCCTGTGTGTGTTGATGTTCACCCAATTTCATGCACTGTAATGTGTCCAAACTCAAAAACTAGAAAAATTAAAAAAAAAATAAAGTACAGACTCATTTACTTGACATCCTATTCTACACAATCATTAACTTTCAGTATCCTTGAGTAGTGTATATTTTACCTATAATGTTGTTGCTTATAAACAAAAGGAATATCTAAAATATTTATTAAAATAAATAAAAATTCAATCAATAATGTTTGTCTTCATCAAAATCATTGATTAGGGATCTTGAACTGCAAAAAATACCACCATTAATGCATAAGTTATGGGGGCGGTGGAGTAACATAAAGAATTGTGAAAACTATTTAGGGCTATATCAATCCTTAAACAAAATTTAGGTTTTCTTTGATGTAAAAGTTATAAAAATTATAAAAAATCATCCTTAATATATGCAAGTATTAGTATCAATTTAAGTAATATACTAATAAAGCAGGGTATTAATCCCACAAGGAAGAATGCTTACTTGAAAATACTAGTACAATTTATTTTAACTAAAATAATTATCCTACTCAATAAATAAAAGTTTTGGTGGAGATTTAGTAACTTATTTTAAAATAAAAAATATTAAATGAAATACTATTAGGATAAATTATTTTGGATTGATGGAATCTAAATTCAATAAGTTTACTAATGATTTTATTTTATGTTGATGTTAGTCAGGGCATATACATCATCGATTGCTCAGTCAAGCATGAAAAGACAAAGGATAGATTAAACCTTTCCAACCTTAGTACCACTCTACATGATCATAGTATGTCACCATATGAAAATCTTAGAAGAGTAAGTAAAGCATGTACTATTATAACCCCCTCATGGCAATTCATTTTTATAAATTTTATACATTATAAGCACAATACCTATGCTTAGATCAAACCAATCTAACATATATGGTTGTTGCATCTTTCTCAATCCTAAGATCCACATTACACCTAATATTAATTACACATATGGACACTATGTATATTAAATGAAGACCTGGTATATTAAAAATATTAAGAAATTATTGATGAAGAAAACTCATTAGTACTTCATATTTCATTTAGACCATCAAACCAAAACATGAAGAAAATGTGAATCATATTTAGCTTCATTAATTACATAAATAGATAAAATTATAGAAGAAATTATTATATCTTATGGTTCAATGATCTCCTTAACAGTTTTATTAGAGCTTATAAAACTACTTCCATAAATACAAGCCAAATACTCTATTGGAATGTATCTAGTACTTCTCTGAATTCCCTTAGTTGTCACTCCTAAGGAAAAATTTGAGAAGTACTATTCATTTAAAATCAAATAAGTGACTTAACTCCTCAATTAATACTAAATACAAACTATTTATTGAAAAATGTAAAAATTTGATTCAGGCACCACAAGGCTCAAGAAACTTGCACTATAGTGCCCATAAAATGAACTAATGCCACAGCGCTGAAGGATTTCTCCGCTACAATGCTTACTAAAGTTAACTCACTATTTAATGAATAAATACATTGCTTAGCTAGAATATTATGGCTTGAGAACTGATGATTGTAATGTCATGGTTCTGTTGATAGTTTTAGTGTTATGACATCCTGGTGGCACTCCCTTTTCTTAAATGCTTTGGAATTTTACACCATAACATTATGTACGTAGAGTCTAAGCTTTATGGCACTTGCTTCTTAGATACTATAGTGCTAAAATAGTTGGGTGTACTTTACGTCGTTGATTCCTTCGATGCCATAACACTGGCAAATAGAGACTAGGTGCCATTATGTCCATATTTGGGTGCTTCAACGATATCAATGATGGCACCACAATGGTATTGGGTGCAATTCTATGGTGTTGTATAATACTTTATAATTGTACTCCTTTCTTGTATTTTTGAATGTATGCACAACTAAAATAACACATTTTACTGAGAAATTAACATATAAAATATAACATTATTTACACTTATCAAATCTTTGCCATCTTAATCTCTTGCTTGACTTCTAACAAATAAAAGATTTGTAATTCTTATTAAGTGATTAACCAAAATAAAAAGTCATAATATAAAATTTAAAAAATTTAGGATGATAAAGCACTATCTAGAATTAGTAAAAATGAATTAAGTCTATACTTCTACTTTGAAAATTTACCAATACTTAAACTTAATAAATCATTCTTGTGCTTTCCTACTTTGAAATTATAGGTTATATATTTAATCTTTAACTTTTTAATGTTGAAGTGAATAGTGTAGTTTAATAATTGGATATGGTTGTTGTTAAAAATTTTCTTTCATTAGTCCAACATCCCTTGCATTATCTTTCTCATCTTATCCTTTATAATTTTTGTATAAGATTGTATTTGAAATATTTAAGCTTTCAATAATACCAAGTTTTTAATGTACTCATCTTTTTCTTTTAATATTTTTTATTTATTTTTCTTTATAAAAAACAATATGTAGTTCTTTTTTTTAAAGTACATAAATAATGCTTTTCAATATGAGCTTTTGCTTTAGGATTTTAATATAGTCTTAATAATTTTAATGTATGGACTTGATGAGATTACTAATTTCATCTTACGATAAGCTAAGATTTCAAATTTCAATTTACTAATATCTATTATTAAATACCAATTATTCATGTTACATTTTTTTAAAAAAAGTTAAATTCATAAAGGTATAACTTAAAATTTTAAATAAATATTAGCTCAAATGGATGAATGAGTTAACTATTAGATTATCCAACCTATGAAGTATAAACAGTGTTCCTTTACATTAGGATATTGGGTTTTATTATTTTTCAAATTGTTTATAATAATAATTATCATTTTATAAGGGTTAATTAAATAATTAGAATACAAAAGTAATTGGAGGAAAATAATAATTTTAGCATGAAGGGAATTTTCTAATATATAAATAAACACATTAACAACATTATAAACACATACTTTCATATGAGTGATAAAAAGTGTGTAAAATAAACATGGCACTCTTAACATAACACATTTGCAAGATAACCAATGCACAAGGCACCCCAAAGTTTAATAATGGCTCTCAAAGCCAAAAATTTCAATTAAGTTTAATTACATTAGCTAATCTCCCAACTCTTCCTTCTCTTCTAAAAAATAATAAAGTAGAATAATAAAAACATAAACACATCCTTAAGAACTCTTCACTCCTCTATTCGCTTGGTTTGATTCTATACCCATTAACTTTAATGGTTTGCAATGTTTTCTTGTCTTGTATTCTGATGGCAACATTAATAAAAATACTCATGAAAGTGAAAGGACCGCTCCATCCAGATTTGATTTTTCATTGCAATACTTTTTTTATAATCAAATAGCAACACATCTTTCTTATTAAAATAAAATAAGAAAAATCTACCACCATGCATTTTCCTTATTTCTACCATATGCTTCTTCTTATCTTCATACAACTCCTTTTTGAAAATTTTCAACTTAGTAATATTGGCAGAACTTTTGCATATGATGAAGTGGAAAAGAATCCTCATTCTTGGTAGGATTTTCATTTGGCTCTTTGAAGAAGATGATGGATTCTTGATTGTACCCATAACTTTGATTTTTTTATTTTCAAGAGAATAAAATATGATAATCACTCAAGAGAGGAGGAAACTAAAAGGAAACGTTTCTCCTAATTGGTTTAATACATTTCAGTAGGAGAGAAGTTTGAAAATTTTAAATTTTCAACCATTAAGGACATCATAGCCCTATGACATTCAAAGGTATGGCGCCGCAGTGCTCCGTTCTTCACTCTTAAGTTTTTTTTAAGCATATTAAATAAAACCTAATCTAGAGGATTGGGTTGCCTCCCTAAAAATACTAAGTTTAAAGTTTTTAGCCATACTTGATAACTAACTAAACATAATATTGGGTTGCCTCCAAGAAGCATTAAGTTTATAGTATTTAGCAGGACTTCCATTTGGCTAAGGTGGATAGTTGTTATTATTCAATTGGGACCCATTTATATCTCTCTCACTATATCTTTAGGATTAACTTTAGTGTTAGTAGAAAGAGATCAAATGGGTCTACTACTGCTAATAAATTCTAAGCTAACTTAGTTGAGCTTCCAAATTTTTTATTGAAGTTGCATGACTTTGTAATTAAGTTCCCAATTGCATGACCATGTCTTTTAGTGGTGCCTCCCTAGTTTCATTTTTGTTGCTTTTATTAAATCTAGGAGGATATGCTGGTCTTAGATTATTCTCAGCTTGATTTTCATTATTCCAATTTTGGACTTGGTTATTTTAACTAGAATTCTAATGTTTTTCATCAATAATATTTATCCAATTAAAATTTTGGGGATTCCTCAAACTTGGATTATTTATATTTTAACAAAGATTATTTTGTCTCCCAATCAAATTTATATTTTTAATCATCTAAATATCATTTTCTACGATTGCACTTTTATCTTCTAAATATAAAGATGAATCAGAATTTAAGCCTAAAGTGCTTAATTTCTTTGATACTACAGCAACTTGTGCAGCTAAAATAGATAAAGAATCATTTTTATATACTCCAATAACTATCTTAGCATTCACCCTATCATCAAGTCACTGAAAAATTATTTTTTATCATTTCTTCAATAAATTCATAAGCATCTTAAAAAGAATTTGACATCAAAAAACCTTCAGCTGTAACATCAATTATAGCTATAAGGGACCCTACCAATAATTTATAAAATTTGAATTATACTCCAATCAAAAAAGGCATAGTGAGGGCACTTTCTAAGCATCTTTTTGAATCTTTCCCAACTTTCATAAATAGATTCTCCTTTTAAATGAGTATAAGAAGTGATGTCATTTTTAAGCTTGCCAGTCTTAGAAGGTGGGAAATACTTTCCTTGAAATTTGTGGGCCAACGCATTCCATGTGTTAATAATGCCTAGAGGTAACAACATTAACTATATTTTTTCCTTGTCTCTTAGAGAAAATGGGAGAAATCTTTGTCTAATGGCATCATCACTAACACTATTGTACTTAAATATTACAAAAATTTCTATGAAACTTGCTAAATATAGGTTAGGATATTCGATGGGAGTTCCCCTAAATTGAGAATTTTGCACCATCGACTTCCTAATTTAATCCTCTACATTTTTTATTCAAGGCTGGGGACTTGGCAATGACAGTTTTTAAAACCTTTTAACACCAAAATTATCATTTTTAGTTGACGATCAATTTGTTAGATATTATCTGTTTCCAAAACTTTCATGAATATTCTTCCAATATCTTGATGTAAATCTATCTTCTCTATCTTATATAGTGACTTTTGGGATACCATGTAATCAAATAATTTATTTGACATATAACCTTTCTAACTCATTAACAAAATTCATTTACATAATTGATAAAAACATAGTATACATATTCAATCTAACAATTATCACCTAAATGCAAAGGCTATCTAAATATCTGAAATCCCATAACAACATCCATTATAATATATTTTCACTTTCATTCTTGAATCGATAATGTTTATAATAGTCCATTTAGTCTTTGATATTTAGCCTTATAATAATTTAATAAAGTTCACAAACATATACTTAACTTCATTCTTTTTTTCTACTTGACTACAAAAATAAAGTTTTTAAAACATCTTGGAACTCCATAAATGAATCACATAGCATAAATTTTGAGTTCCCTATAAAGTTTTGTGCCTCAAATAATAATCACTTAGTATCCATAAATGCCACTTATTTTAACAACTCCTTATTTATCAATAGTAATTTCAATCCTCTTTCCTAAATGATCTTGCTTTATTAAGCTTTGATACTTATTATTAGCTTTCTAAACATTTTAATTTTGTTCACTAAATTTCAAAACATTATCTTTTGATAAAAAAATCCCATGTCATTAATTATTTTTGGATTTTTACTATAATGTTTAGTTATTTTTAGTAAACTAGGATTCCTAAGTAGTCATCAAACTTGTAAAACTTATAAACTTCTAACTTAAAAGAATCATTCTTAAAATTTACCTTTTTTAGATAATATTATATATAAAGATCATGTTGGAAGACAATGGTACCCCAAGAAGGGAGGGGGGGGGAGGTTGAACTAGGGTTTTTTAAATTTTTATTTAAAGAAGAAAATCAAAATGATTTTCAAGCTATTTTGAAAAGAATAAGAAATCACACAATTTTTATGAAAAAAAAAGAAAAATAGATGCAAGAAAATAGAATAAGAGGCACAATATTCTTATGTGGTTCACCCCGGATTTTAGTCCAACCTACATCCACCCTAGCCAACTGTCGGGTTAGAATTCACTACTCTCAGATTTGCTTTGCAAACCTCACTTTTTTAAACCAAAGAAGTTCTTTACAACCTAAGTACTCTCCTACACGGGAGAGTACCACCTAATCTAATTACAATTTAAACATCACTAAGCCAAATGACTTATATCAAGAAAATAATAATCACAATTTGATGTAAATACTACAAGATCAAATTATCTTGCAATAAAATTTCCATAATATTTAAGATGATCTTAAAAAGGCACAATACTTTTATGTGGTTCACCCCGGATTTCAGTCCAACCTACATCCACCCTAGCCAACTATCGGGCTAGAATTCGCTACTCCCAGGTTTGCTTCACCAACCTCACTTTTTTAAGCCAAAGAAGTTCTTTACAACCTAAGTACTCTCCTACATGGGCGAGTACCACCTAATCTAATTACAATTTAAAAATCCCTAAGCCAAATGACTTATATCAAGAAAATAATAATCACAATTTGATGTAAATACTACAAGATCAAATTATCTTGCAATAAAATTTCCATAATTTTAAGATGATCTTAACAATTAATTTTAATCACCTCACTGCTTGCAAATGGAATATAAAAATTTTCACTTTAAGATAGATTTATATATTGTTTAAAATAAAAATAATATATTAAAGAAAAAATATATTCTTGCTAATATAAACTTTAACTCTACAAATAAAAAAATGAATTAGATTTTAAATGTAAATATATGCCACAAAAGAAAATAAAAATACTTGCTTTGCTAAGTCTATGGATTTAAAAGATGTAATATAGAAAACTTAATATAAAATTCCCAACTAGTATTTTAATAAATAATAAATATATTCAATATATAAATATATGGTGAAAGCTAAAAGAATTACAAGTAAAGATTAAGTGAAAGAAAGCAAACTCAAGAACTCCAAGATATGTTACATGGTTTTGCGTGATGAAGCTTTCCAACCAAGAATTCGATCTTGCAAATGAAAAAAGCTCTTGAAATAAAAATTAAAGTTTCTCCTCCCAAGATTTAGCATGTAAAGAAGAAAGGAAGAATTGAAGAATTGCTGGAGATTTCCTTTTTTGAGCAGCCCTTACATGAAGAAGAATAGAGGTATTTAAAGGGAAAGGGTTAGTAAAGCCAAATTTAAAAACAAAACTATTAATCTAATATTAATTTATCAACTAATAATATTATATTTTATAAAAAATTCATTTATATTAAATATATATAGGATTCAAATGGCTATAAAATTGCCAGCGACATGGGAATGTCAAAAAGGCATCGTATACATCCAAAGTAAGGTAAAAAAGGCTACCATCAAATTATATTTAAATCAAATAATGTTTGGAAACTGATTATAAATTCAAATGAGATCTAAATGAGTCATATAACATATCAATTTATATTAACCAAATCCAAAAAATCTAATTCAATATAAATTAGACCACGTTTCTATCAAAATAATATCATATTCAGTAAAATAAAAACACATGTACATTTTTAAATATTTAAGGATATATTAAATATTAATATAATAATATGATGTAATTTATATAAAATTAATCATACATTAATAAATTGATATGAAACAAGTTAATTAAAAATGAATAAATAACATTATGTAATTTATATAAAATTAATCGTACAATGATTACCTTTACTTTCCTTAATTATAAAACTTTCCATATTTGATAATAATTATGTAATCAATGAAGGTTATAAAATCTATTTATTAAAGAAATCTTATAGATTTATGTATCAATAATAATCTATAATTAATAGATATTTAGATTGTGAGCAAATCAAATCTTGCAAGTAAATATTAATGGGCCAATAACATACTCCAACGATAATAAAAAGTCCTTCAAGTTGTTCATCTTGGTCAATCTTAATCTCAACATTTGATTGAACTTGATTTATGCAATGTAAATCCCATATGTAATTATTATGGACTTCATTACACCTAACATACTTAGAACACAAATTATAATATCCAAGCATATGTTTATTATCATCAAAATCTCTAAAATAGGTCATGTGGTAGATAATAATTACAATCTCCTTCTTTTTAATGATGACAAACTTATGTTGCTTTAGTTATAACAGAGATGCAAGTTGACATTTCATCATAACTTTTAAGTATTACAAAATTATATATGATAGTTGAGAAAAATTTTGAAATGCTAATTTGCTAAATAAAATAATTTTTCCCTAAATATATGCATGTAAAATAAGTTATGGTCAATATATATTACTCTTCTCCCCCTTTGACAACATCAAAAAGAATAATTAAATATAAAAGAAATTTAAATGCTAGGATTTAACATCCCAAGCATGCCTCTTAACATGCAAAATCTCTTGTCAGCTATAGGTTTTGTAAAGTTAGCGGCTATTTGAGAATCTATGTTGACAAAATCTATATTCACGTTACCTTTATTTACAAGATCTCCAATAAAATGGTGTCTAATCTCTATGTGTTTAGTTCATGAATGTTGTATAGGATTTGTTGTTAAACTTCTAGCACTTGTATTATCCCATTTAATGAGAATATTTTTAAGCTTAATTCCAAAATCTTCTATTTGTTGCTTTTTCCATACAAATTGAGCAACACAACTACCTGTAGCTATGTACTCAGCTTCAGTAGTAGATAAAGCTACTGAATTTGTTTTATAGAAGACCAAAAAATAAGCGATGATCTTAAAATTGATAGGTTCCAGATGTACTTTTCTATCAACCTTAAAACCAGTATAGTTTTCATCATAATATTCAACTAAATTACATGATAATAAATTTGTGGGATACCATAAGCCTAACTTATGAGTTCTAAACAAAAAAAGAAATATTCGCTTAACTACTATTAAGTGTGATTCCTTAGGATTAGCTTTAAATCTTGCACATAAACATACAACAAATATAATATCAGGCCGACTAACTGTAAGGTACAATAGTGAACCTATCATACTTCTATGAAATTTTTGATATATTGGTTTTCCTGATTCATTTAAATCAAGTTTAGTTGATGAGCTTATAGGAGTTTTACTCAATTTAAATATCTTCATATCAAACTTTTCTCATAATTTGTTTATGTACTTGGTTTGACATATGAATGTGCCAGAATCTAGTTGTTTTACTTGAAGTCCTAAGAAAATGGTGAGTTCTCCCATCACTCATTTTAAATTCCTTTGACATAAATGAGGAAAACTCATGACATAAACTTTCATTTATACTTCAAAATAATATATCATCAACATAAATATGTATAATAATTAAATCATCTCCAATTTTTTGATAAAAAAAGTTGTATCTACCTTACCTTTTTTAAAGTTATGTTTAATTAAAAAATTACTAAACCTATCATACCAAGCACATGGAGCCTATTTCAAACCATATAAAGCTTTCATTAATTTATATAAATGATAAGGAAAAATAATGCTTTCAAAACCTAGCGCTTGTTTTACAAATACATCTTGATAAAAAAACCCAATAAAAATACACTTTTGACATCCATTTGAAAAAGTTTAAAGTCCTTAAAACAAGCAAAATAAAGGAGTTATATTGCTTCTGCTCAA